TTTCCTAAATAAGAATAACCTTATTTGTAAGTGTTAGGTATGCCAACCACATGAGACCACATTATCAAGAGCAAACTACTATTCTATTTGTTTAATTGATATAGTAATTTGGTTGAATCATCATGTAGTAAAACACTATGTAATGAGATGTGAATAAAAGAATGCTGCCCTTTGGTGTGGTTCAGTGGATTGAGTCCTGGCCTGTAAACCAAAGGTTTGCCAATTTGGTTCCCAGTGAGGGCGCACGCCTGGGTTGTGGGCCAGGTCCCAAGTAGGGGGCGTGTGAGAGGCAACCACACACTGATGTTTCTCACCCTCTCTTCTTCCTCGCATTCCCCTCTGTCTAAAAATAAATAAATAAAACCTTAAAAAAAAAAAAAGAACACTATACCTAGGTAAGAAAGACGTGATACTGGCTTCTTTCTAATCTCTCTCCTTATGAAGGGCAAGTATTTAATTTTAAGTTTAAAATATTATTTCTTGGTCTACTAAAATCATAATCTCTAGAGATTGAATCTCCCCAAGCATGGCAGACAAGATTTACTGCCTAAATGCCACTGCCCATTTATGCCAGTGGGTCCCTGCTCCAGTACCAACACCAACATCAATCTTTGTAGCACCATTCCTCTTTGCCAGCAGTTGGTTTAGGGCTAAGTGTGATTCATTTCTTGCCAGTGAAATTTGTGGGTAAGGCTATTGAGGCCACTGGGTAAGACTTTATTTACTTCATAATAAAAAGAGGCAAGGGGAAATTTCTCTCTTCTTTTGGTCCTTAAAGGCCCTTGTGTTTGCGTGTGGGGGAGGTGGGGAAAGGTGGAGTTGTGGATGGGGACTGTGTTCTTTGGAACTCTAGCAGCCATCATCTACCCATGAAGAAAAAGTCAAAATTAGCTCATAGTAAGCAACATAGACTCTGATATCATTGGGCTACTGATACAAATCTTGGGTCCACTTACTTTCAGACATATTGTTGTATGAGAAGAGCAGGCTTGTATTTCTAAAGGCAATTTTGGGCAAACGTCCTGTTACTTGCTGCCAAAAGCAACCCAACCAATACAAGAAATGATTTTGATGTGAAGCCAACTCTGCAAAGTTAGGATGAGGAATAATGATGAGGAACCTTTGGCTTACCCAGTACCCCTAGCTTTTTGACGTGGTGAAAATCTTCATAGAAGATGAATGATCAGAACACTGCCTTTGTATTGATAATTCTCAAATATGTTCACAAAATAACATTTTAGTGCCAAGCATTTTAGTGTCATTCTTTTAGTCAACAGAGATGATACAGATTGTAAAGTTATACATTTTCTCTCCCCTACCCTCGAAGTTCAGTTGTGGTATTGGAATACTGAATGAAAAGGAAGTTGAGCTCATGAGCATTTGATTGTTTTCCAAATGTTGTTACTCAAATAACAAACAAAACAACAATAACAACAAAACACCATTACCATTGCTGCCTGTAATTTCATTTTTTTTCCCACTTGGTAAAATTCTACCAGTCATTCAAGATCTAATTCAAATGCCATCATCTCAATTAGTATTTCCAACTATTTTGTAACTCTACATAAACTAACTCTGGTCCTCTTTTCTTTTCTGAGGACTCATTCATTCATTTACTCATTCATTCAACAAACACCTATTAAGTTCTTGCCAAGTTCTAGTCCTTTTGCTGGAATTCAAAAGTGAACAGCTTGCAATGTAATCAAAGAATAATAGATCATTCCTTAAGCAACCATAGTGAAGGGTGGGAACCTTCAATTTCAGGCACATGAGATAGCAACCTCACCCCTTCACAATCAGTGAAGTTCATCAGACTTTTACTGGTTTACTATGGTGTATAAGGAACGAGAGATACAAAGACGACTGAGATGTAGTCTCTCTTCTTCAAGAATGATAGAGATTAATATGTCTTTGCCAAACTAGTTTCCTCTGCTGCCTGGGCACATAGAGAGTTGACATTTCCCAGCCCCCCTTGCAGGTCAGTGTGGCATGTGACTGAGGTGTGGCCAATGGGACATGGGCATAAATAATATATAGCACTTCCATCACCTATAAGAAACCTCTCATGCAACCTGCCACATAGCCTCTCTTTTCCTGATGATTGCCTGGAAACCAAGGACTGCAAGGTCTTAGGGATGGCAAAGCCCTAATGTACGAAAAGTTTGAGTTCCTGCATCACTGAATAGAAGGCCACCAGCTAAACATCATTACATAAGTGAGAAATAGGCTTTACCTGAGAAAGAAATAAGCTTCCACTGCATTGTTACTGATTTTGGAGTTCACCTGTTACAGCTGTTAGTGTTACCTTTAGGTAATATAATCGCAATGTGGGAAGTGTAGGTATAGAGTTAAACAAGGGAAAGGAAGTATTGCCTTGCTTGGCTGGGGTCAAGTGATACTTGAATAAAGCCTTGAAAGATGATGTAGTCTTGCAAAGAAAATCAAGACCATTACAGGCAGAGGACCACATGATTACAGGATGTGAGGTGAAAAGACCATGTAGGGAATTCTGTGCATGGCTATATTAATTAGAGTATTGTGCTCAGGAAGTGTCGTGGTGAGACGAAATGGAGATGAAAACCCTGAGTGTAAATCCTGTGACACCGCGTCCCACTGGGGCGATTTTGGGCAAGTTAACCAGTCTGGTTAAGTTTCTTCATCTGTAAAGCAGTGACAGTGCCTATGTCATAGAAAACCTTAAAAGCAGTACAGGGTACATATTAGCGTCCCTATGGAGTCCTCCCAATGCCTTATCTTCCTTTTATAAGATTTTCCCTGAGAAAGAAGCATGTATCTACTCTACCGAAGAGCACAGATAAGCACAGGTAATTTTGAAACTTCCAGTCCTTCAAATAAACCACAGAAAAGTAAATAAAAGAATAGATTTCTAAAAAGACAAAGAACTTTTATTATGTTGACAAGATGTACTTAATAACTTTATAAGGCTGTTAAACACTCTTTAGAACTTATCATGAGCACCCTCTCATTTAGCAAGTGCACATGTAGGCAGCTCCACTTGCTCCCAGACGTTGTGAAAAATGGATGTAAACCCCTTTCCACAGAGGAAAAATCTCTTATTATTGGGGTCCGGGTGTGGACCAAAGAGTCAGTGGCCTATTGATTATCAGAAGGACTAGCAAATAATTGGTCATGAACCAGATATTCAACAATCTCTTGTGATAGGATATTCTGTAAATGTTTTAAACAAAGAAACATTTTACATTATACTTGTAGAGTAGACTTCACAGATAATCTGGTCTATAGGTAACAAACTGAAGCGCTTTCAGGGCCAAACTCAAACATGGGGTCTGTGGCAATTGGAGAAGGCACAGCCCCACTGAAGGCATTCAAGTCACTGCCAGTCTCTGGATCTACCCTCATGGTTTCATTTCTCATCTAAAAAAAACTAAAGAGATTTAGGTGTAATGCCTCTTAGAGGCTACATACCAAACGTATTAATCGAGTCAAGGAAAGCAGAAAACCAAAACCACTCCTGGTGTTTTAAGCAGAAGGAGATTTTACAGGGAATTAACTGAACCGATGAAAGGGCTAGAAGCACAGGGTCTAGGCTTGGCCTCCAGGAATGATTTCTAGAATATCAGTAACTGAATAACCAAAGTATGTACTATTTTGGTACCATCAGGAGGTCCCTCAGGGACTGCATGGTTCAAGAACACCACTTGTAGCTGTGACCCTGAGAAGCTGCGATCTGGGACCTGCCTGGACAGGGAGCACCGAATATGTTCACACCTCCCTCAACTGCCTTTTGATAGCTACAGAGCTGGTGATTCAACACAACAGTGCGGAACCTGGAAGTCCTAGCCAACACCCACAACTCTGGAGACTGGACACTGGCATCTCCTGGACCTTCCTTGCCCCCAGAGAACAGCCAAAAGTAGCAGGGAGATGGCCTCACCCTTGTCTTCGAAATCTCAGACAAGTCATCTATTTGCCTGACCCTAATTTCACACCCAGAGCGCTAGCTGGAAGGCAGTATGGGAAGTGTGTTTGGCTTCTCAGTGCCTCCAGTACAAGAGCGCACACTAGAAGCAGGCAGAAAAGGATCTGAGTGCCAAACCTCCATACCTGGCACAGTAGATTTAAGTGTAGGCCCCGTACTCAGCCCTACATTACCGACTTCCCCCCCACTTATTCTATAGTGCCTTCTATGGAAACCCTAAAAAATAAAAATAAAAAAGGGCCCCAAACTTAGTCAATAGGATTATAATTCTAAAGATCTTAATAGGCTAGAAAATGTATTGTGTGAATAAGTCACTTTGCTCATATTATTAGTATAGCAGGAATTATACTACCTAATGATTTTTGGTATGGTCAGATCCTTTGGATTCTGAGCTACTGAAAGACAGAAACTGTCTTTGATTCATATTTGTGTCTCCTGTCCCCATGCCTGCCTGTCCCAGAGAAGACACACAGGTATTTGCTGAATTGAAATGTTTCACTCTTGATTTGGAGAGAAACAGTAAGCCAGAATTTTATGAGTACTGTGTAGCAGCAATAATGTCCAGTGGAGACCCCATTACAGGCAGTTTTAGTCTTTCAGTGAAAACAGAGGTTGACCTGGGTAAGAAAGGTCTCTATCTGGGTGCTATCAAAAAATGGTGCCTTTCTGCTATCAATTATTAGGGCCACAAGTTTTACCATAGTCCAGAGAGACAACAAGGATGAGATAACAAGCTGATGCCTGGTATTAAAGTTAAAGGAGCCACAGACATACTCAGCGTGCGCTTTGACAGGTGGTTCTTTTTTCCAGTCAGTACGACCTGACGGTACTTAGCACCTCCGAGTGCTAACCTAGCCCACAACAGCTGCACCCTCTGGTTGATTTCAGACCTAAAACAAAACCAAGAGAAACCCAGCCTAACAACAACACAACAGAAACAGCTGGAGGCTCGCTCCCAGTTCTGGCCTGGCAAAGCCACCAAGGTTCCCGCGGCTGGCGGGTTTTCTTTGCACCCTTTGCGTTCTCCAGGGACACTCACCTCGCAGTCTCTGGTACGGGCAGCCGGCTCTGCCCCGCAACTAGGAAACTGGCTAAAAAGCTCTGCCCGGGAGCCTAGTCCAGCAGCGGCGCGCCGGGCCGCTGGCTCGCACTTCGCGGCAGGCGGAGCGCGGAGCGGTGTCGACTGCGGCGAGCCCGAGGCGCGCCACGTGACAGCGGCCCGGCCTTTTCGAAAGAGCGGTGCGCGGCCTCGCCTCGGGGCTACCGTCTGGGAAGCTGCAGCAGACCCGAGCAACCCGGGGCTGAGGTCCACTATGCGTCTCTGCTGATTTGGGGGTTAGGCGGCGGGGAAGCGGGGCTCGCACTGCAGACCACCGGGAGGCCACTTCCCGGGGACTTCGGAGCGGCCCTGTGTACGTTCCAGTCGTTTGTTCCCGCTGGGCCGCCTGCCACCCCTGGTGCCCCGATGAACGCGGCGTTCCCGGGAGCTTCCTGGAAAGGCCACCCTCAGAGCGCAGAGCCCGGCGCGGACGGCCGTGGCTGGTTGGTGGTTCCCTACACCAACCTCTTTATTCTCGCTGTTAATGCCGCCTTTCAGTTGTATTTTGTAAAGGAGTCTTCCGTGCGCGATGGGAAGACTAAGATTCTTCCATTGATCAGTTAAGCAGGATAAAAGACCGCTTCTTGAGCACGTGCCCTTCTAATTGTTTTAGGTTTTAACCTTTCCATCAGCTATTTTGACTCTTTTTCCCTGCCTTCCCTGCTCTGTATTTTGCTCCTCCAACTAAGTATGTGCATGTGCCCACATGTCCCTTTCGGGGTAATTTTCATTTCCATCTGAAATAAATTTCTTACCTGTTTTTCACTCCTGTAAGCAAGTCCCAGTTTTATCACCTCGTTTCAGGCAAGAACAATGTCAAGTAACAGTGTTCTCCACCAAGCACACGCCTCCACCAGCCAGAAACCACTCATGGCTCAGGTCCTCCTTTGTGGAAAGAATGGATAAACCTACGTTCTGTCTAATAAGCTTTTTCAGAGCATCTAAAATGATGATTTTCCTAAAATGAACCCTTCCTCTTCTAAAGCTCGCTCAAGTTTCTAGTGACATTCAGCTTCCTCTTATTGCAGGAATGAAACATAGTTTTCCATTTCTTTCAGTCATATGAGCTTTATTGATACATCACCTGATTTGATTAGCATGACTTTGGAGAACTTTGAACTACTGGGCTAGATTTTACTTTGCTTTTAATGCTTATAATGTTTTATACCTTATAGTTAACTCTGAGAGAACTATGAGGGAACATTTGTTAAAGTTAGAATGCATTTTGTAGAATCGTCACGTTTTTATTTAGAATTCATTTGTTCACAGCTATACAAATACATGTGTACTCTCTCACAGCGTAAAATACTCCATAACATAAACTTTAGGATTCCGTGCCTCACTTTATAAGAAGTTACAGCATTTTGGTTATGATACACCCAAAAGAAATGCAGGTCATTTGGCCCAATTCCCTAATTTCACAAAGTGGAAAACTAAAATCCAACATAAATTCAGTGACTTGTTCTAGGTGAACCGGTAGAGTAGTACCTGCTCCAGACCCCAAATTGAATCTTATCATCAATGGACTCTGGGAATACCATTCAAAATATCCTTTGCTGTCAGTTTTAACTCACTTTCATCAACTGCAAAATATTCTTCCTGATTCATAAATTATCTGTTCATTGTCCATTTTAATAGTTCCTTTGTTATTATTAAAAGAGAAAAGGCTAAGTATAACCACTTATTTAGAGTAGCTGCTACATATGTGCATCATACCACTTGATCTTTTGAAATAGTAACAAGTAAAATAAAAATAAAACTCTGTAACCGAGAGAACAAGAAAAAACTTCTAATAATCTCTGATAATCATGCATAGATTTACTTAGCATTTTCTCAAAATTTTTATTTTCTTCTTTATTTCTGTTACATGGTTCATTTATATTTATTTGTCTAGAGATTATTTCCAAATTCCACGTCCTCTCATCTGTTATCCTGGAACTTCATGAAGAAAATCTATAATTAATTAAAGAAAATATTTCCCAAACTGACAATACTGCCAAGTTAGTTAACTATATTTATTTAGGCCCATGTCAAATATCGTTGCTTACCGCTTGGACGGAGCTGGAAAGCATTATGCTAAGCGAAACAAGCCAGGCATTGAAAGACAAATACCATATGATCTCACCTTTAACAGAAACCTAAACAACAAAACAAAGAAACAAGCAAAATATAACCAAAGACACTGAAATAGAGGACAGGCTGACAGTGACCACAGGGGAGAGAAGAGGGAATTTCAGGGGACAATGGGAAGGGTTTACAGGAACAAATTTAAAGGACACATGGACAAAAGCTAGAGGGAGGGTGGTAATGGGAGGGAAGAGGGGAGGGTTGGTGGGTGGGCTGGATTGGGAGTAAAAGGGAGAAAACTGTACTTGAACAATGATTAAAATAAAATAAAAAAATATATATCGTTGCTTATTTTAATAAGGATTTTTTAGTTAGAGCAAGAAGTTAAATTGTAAGAAAACAGTACTTAACTGTAAGTGATGATATCCGGTAAGTATAAATACCTGCTCATTATTTTTGTTTTATGTAACAGATCACAATAGTTCTGACTAAACTCCTTTTAATGTAAGTTATTGAAGTCAAACTACTTCTTACCCTTGGTATTCATTTACAAAGGTATAAGATTTTAAACTTAGTTCCCATATACTAACAAATGCAAAACTGTATAAAATACTTGAATATTGGGAAATAGAGGTAAAATAGAAATGAATACCTTTTTTAAAAAAACCCTCCTTTTCCTTCATAGTGACATTTTATGTTATATGCTTATAACTTGCAGTTTATTTTTAAAACTACCCATTTGCAGTGAGTTCATTATCTTTTAGGTCATCTACAATGATTGTAGAGGAGATTAGAAAGAGATTAATATATTTAAAGAACTGGACTTGTGAGCCATGACATCATTAGAAAGGGCTTGTTTTCATTCCTATATGATTAACAAGAAGGACATAATGGTGAGTTTTCTGCACAACCAGCTTCACCGTGGGTAGGAAGGGCCTGCCTTCCCAGTGAGGAGATCCTGAAATCACAAGCTCCAGCCTCCATCGATGATGACAGGATTGCCTGTCATGTAGGCAGACTGTGGTGATAAACACAAGGGGACACAACAATTAACCAGGTTTAACACAGGTTGTGTTTCTTCAATTCTTCTATGACACTTAACAAAGAGAATTTACGTAACTCTGAATTAAATTTTGGATGATTTAAAACTGCCAAGTGTTCTTTTGGTCTGGCTTCTGGCTGGTATTTTAGCACGTGTCACATTCTAAGCAAGGTCTGTCAGGTGTTTGGTCTCAGAATCAGGAAATTAAAAAGTTAGGTGACATATGGTCATTCCCCAAATTAGAATAAAATATAGGCTAGAATAGTACATTTTCATTTTGAAACTCAGAACTATTCTAAAATAGCTGAATTTTATGCCACTAATAAACTTTTTTAATATAACCAAGTGTGTCCGTTATAAAGTGGTCATGTCAATTACCAAACAAAATTGGTTTAAAAAGATACTGTATATACAGTTGATCAATATACACAGGCAATTACAGGAACTGAAACATTTTAAAAATGTGTGTATTTAAAAAATTTGTATGGCCCTGGCCAGTGTGGCTCAGTTGGTTGGAGCATCGTCCTGTGGACCAAAACGTCACAGGTTTGATTTCTGGTCAGGGTGCGTGCCCAAGTTGTAGTTCCAGACCCCATTTGGGGCCTGCCCAAGAAGGCAACCAATCAAAGTTTCTCTCTCTCCTTCTCCCCTCTCTTCTCTTTAAAAGCAATGGAAAGATGTCCTGGGGTGAGGATAAAAATTTTATTTTAAATTTGTATTAAAATAATGATTATAATCTATTAAACTATGAAAAAATTTATACTTGTTTTGGATATAAATCTGTGTTAAACTAAAGGAGTTAAAACAAATAACTTTTTTCCACATAATTTTTTCATTTTCCAAGGAATTAAAGCTAAAATGATTTCTTGTAGTATGGGTTGAAAAATCTCTTTTCACTTAAACATGGATAATAAAGAGTCAAATTTGTGTTTCTAGTTTTAAATTTATCCAAAGCCTGAGACAATGGAAGAGGGAGCAAGGAAAAATATCATAATATAAGCACAGAAATTTAAAAAGTTTATTCTGTGAAAACCAATCGTATAATGTAGATGAACTAGGGCCTTACCAATCATTTTACCAAAAAATGACCCCAATTCTCCCAAGTGTTTTTACAAGGCAAGCTGTCGGTTATACTTATGGACTCCTCGGGGCCCCTTTAAAAGCCCAAAGTTCCTTTCCTTGCACATTTCAAGCCAAACATTTCCAAATATTTGGTAACCTAAGCTCTGGATAAACAAGGGCAATTCAACTAATCAGCTGTATCCTAAAATCAAATGAGCTCTTCTGAAGATATGCATTCAGAGAAATCACAAAGGCCAACATACTTGCTTAATTGATAATTTGTCTAACAAGTTCCCCAGCTATTAACAACTGTTGTTAATAGTTCTCTGAAGTAGTAATTACTTTGTCATTAAAACATTTTAAACCCTATATTTGTCACATTCACCAGCCACCTGGAGTGCAACAAGTTCCTGTAAAGAGGAACTAACTGATTAGTAACACCTCCTCAATCCCACCTACTTACTTCCCTTTCTGTCTCTTTACATACATTGTAGTTCCCCCATCATGTAACATTCAAAGACAAAACAAAGAGGGATGTTCTTGTGCTCTATGCCTTATAAACATAGTTTCTGCTTTTGCACTAGTTTACCATTTTAATGCTGCTGTTAAAGAAGAAACTGGTTCCTAAATAGGTGCAAAGTGGAAAGAGGCAGAATTTGGAATATTCATACACGATGACACGCAAGTAAGAGTTCATAGAAAAAAAAGAGCCAGTGGGAGTCTTTTAAACAAGGGACCAGTAGAATGAAAATGACCAAATGCCAATTTTGTTTCCTACACCTAAACACAATTAAATCTGGTTAACTCTCACTCCATTTCACCTGAAAACTCTCATAATTTTGGATGCTCATTTGTTTGACTTACCCTGAACCAGGGTAGCCCAAGCTGCAATTTTTTTGAAAGCAATTGTCTTTTATAAATTGAGCAATTTTTTTCACTCTATTTATTTGCTACAAGATTTACTGACATGTAAAGTTGAATGAGGAAAAGTTGGCAGCTCAGGTCAAAGTGGCCTTCTTTGAGCAAATTAAATCAGAACAGATCTGTCTAAGTAACTGCAGCATCTTAGCAATATATATGTCATAACTCTCTAAGGCAACATTTTTTGATGAGCAAATAGTGGCTGAATATGATTAAGATAATGAACTCCCTGGGAGGAGGAATGCTTACTTCATCAGAAGCCAAATACACACAAAGCAGGGCTATTTCTTCTGCAGTTGCAAATCTTCCAGTCTTCTGTCTCTTCAGAAAATCACTCAGTGCCTGTGACCAGAAACCATACCAGACATCAGTGACCTGAGCTGAAGTATTATGCACTCACCTGCAATTCCTTCTGAGGGTAAAAAGCAAGGTGAGTCTACAGAGGTACCACTGCTTTGGAACCATAATCATGCATGATACAAAATATGTGAGAATATCATTACTATCATTAATTGTGGACTAAGCAGATCAAGCAGGGCTACGGTGACTACCTATCCACTGAAACTATTTTGTTATACTGTGACCTACAGACATTGTGAAAGATCAGAAAGTTGATATTAAAGAAGAAGGCTTTTTAAAAGTTGTAGTAAAATACACCTAATGTGAACTTTACCAACTCAACCATTTTTATTTATTTATTTATTTTTGTTCAAGTACAATTGTGTCCCTTTCCTCCTACCTCTTCCCAACACCCCACCCACCCCCACCTCCTGCCCTCAATACTACCCTCCTTTGGCTTTGTTCATGGGTCCCTTATACATGTTCCTTGATGACCCTTCTCCAATTTTCTCCCATTATCCCTCTCTCACCTCAACTCTGGTTACTGTCAATTTGTCCTTTACTTCAATGTCTCTGGTTATATTTTGCTTGCTTGTTTGTTTTGTTGATTAGGTTTCATTTATAGGTGAGATCATACAGTATTTGTCTTTCACTGCCTGGCTTATTTCACTTAGCATAATGCTCTCCAGTTCCATCCACGCTGTTGTGAAGGGTAGGAGCTCCTTCTTTCTTTCTGCTGCATGGTATTCCATTGTGTACATGTACCATAGTTTTTTGATCCATTCATTTACTGATGGACACCTTAGGTTGCTTCCAGCACTTGGCTATTGTAAATTGTGCTGCTATGAACATTGGGGTGCATAGGTTCTTTTGAATTGATGTTTCAGTATTCTTAGGGGATAATCCTAGCAGTGGAATTGCTGGTTCAAAAAGCAGTTCTATATTTAATTTTCTGAGAAAATTGCATACTGTTTTCCACAGTGGCTGTCCCAGTCTGCATACTAGGGTTCCCTTTTCTCCACAACCTCACCAGCACTTGTTGTTTGTTGATTTGTTTATGATGGCCATTCTCACTGGCATGAAGTGGTATCTCATTGTGGTTTTAATCTGCATCTCTCTGATGGCCAGTGATGCTGAGCATCCTTTCATATGTTTCTGGTCCCTCTGTACATCCTCCTTGGAGAAATGTCTGTTCAGGTTCTTTGCTCATATTTTAATTGGATTGTTTGTTTTCCTGGAGTGGAATCATGTGAGTTGTTTACGTATTTTGGAGATCACACCCTTTTCTAAGGTATCATTGGCAAATATATTTTCCCATATGGTTGGTTCACTTTTCATTGTGCTGATGTTTTCTTTAGCAGTGCAGAAGCTTTTTATTTTGATGAAGCCCCATTTTATTCTTTCCTTTATGTCCCTTGCTCTAGGGGACACATCAGTGAAAATATTGCTGCATGGAATATCTGAGATTTTCCTCCCAATGTTCTCCTCCAGGACTTTTATGGTGTTGTGACTTATGTTCAAGTCTTTTATCCACCTTGAGTTTATTTTTGTGTATAGTGTAAGTTAGTGGTCGAGTTTCATACTTGTGCGTGTAGCTATCCAGATCTCCCAACACCATTTGTAGAAGAGGCTATTATTACTCCACTTTATGCTTCTGCCTCCTTTGTCAAATATTACTTGACCATAGAGACTTGGGTTTATTTATGGGCTCTCTATTCTGTTCCAGTGATCTATGCGTCTGTTCTTATGCCAGTACTAGGCAGTTTTGATTACAGTGGCCTTGCAATATAGTTTGAAATCAGTTATTGTGATCCCTCCTGCTTTGTTCTCCTTTCTCAAAATTGCTGTGGCTATTCGGGGTCATTTACAGTTCCATATACATTTTTGAAATGTTTGTTCATTATCTGTGAAATACGTCATCAGTATTTTAATAGGAATAGGAATTTAATAGGTATTTTAATAGGAATTGCACTGAATCTATAAATTGCTTTGGGTAGAATGGACATTTTGATGATGTTAATTCTTCCAATCCATGAACATCGTATATGTTTCCATTTGTGTTTTCCTTAATTTCTTTCTTCATTGTTGTGTAGTTTTCTGAGTACAAGTCTTTTACCTCCTTAGTTAGGTTTATTCCTAGGTACTTTATTTTTCTTGTTGCTATATGAAATGGAATTGTTTTTCCTGATTTTTGTTTCTGATATTTCATTGTTAGCATACAAACATGCCTTTGATTTCTGAATATTGACTTTGTATCCCACTGTTTTGCCAAATTCACTTAGTATGTTGACTAGTTTTTTGGTGGAGTCTATAGGGTTTTCTATGTACACTCTTATGTCATCTGCAAACAGTGACAATTTTACTTCCTCCTTTCCAATTTGGATGCCTTTTACTTCTTTTTCTTGTCTGATTGCTGTGGCTAGGACTTTCAACAATATGTTGAATAGAAATGATACAGGCAGATATACTTGTCTTGTTCCTGCTCTTAGTGGGAAAGCTTTTAGTTTTTGCCCATTGAGTATGATGTTGGCTGTAGGTTCCTCATATATGGCCTTTATTATGTTGAGGTATGCTCCCTCTACTCCTACTTTGCTGAGTGTTTTTATCATAAATGGGTGCTGTACCTTATCAAATGTATTTTCTGCATATATTGATATGATCATGTGATTTTTTCTTTCCTTTTGTTTATGTGATGTATTACATTTATTGATTTGCTAATATTGTACCATCCTCACATCCATGTGATGAATCCCACTTGATCATGGTATATGATCTTTTTGATGTACTGCTGGATGTGGTTTGCCAATACTTTGTTGAGGATTTTAACATCTATGTTCATCAGTAATATTGGCCTGTAGTTTTCTTTCTTTGTTATGTCTTTATCTAGTTTTGGGATTAGGATGATGCTGGCCTCATAAAAAGAGTTTGGGAGGCTTCCTTCTTCTTGGATTTTTTGGAATAGTTTGAGAAGGGTAGGGGTTAGTGCTTCCTTAAATGTTTTGTAAAATTCTCCTGTGAAACCATGCAGTCTAGGGTTTGTCTTTGCTGGGAGTTTTTTGATTACTGTTTTGATTTCACTAGGTGTTATTAGTCTGTTCAGGCTTTCTGCTTCTTCTTGATTCAGTTTTGGAAGATTATGTGTTTCTAGAAATTTATCCATTCACCCAGGTTTTCAAATTTCTTGGCGTAGAGTTGTTTGTAGTAATTTCTTACAATCTTTTGTATTTCTGTGGGATCAGTTGTAATCTCTCCCCTTTCATTTCTGACTTTATTTATTTGGGTCCTCTCTCTTTTTGTCTTGATGAACCTGCTTAAAGGCTTGTCAATTTTGTTTATCTTTTCAAAGAACAGCTCCTGGATTTACTGATCCTTTAAATTGTTCTTTTAATCTCTATGTCATTTAATTCTGCTCTGATCTTGGTTATTTCCTTCCTTCTATTCACTCTAGGCTGTCTTTGTTGTTGTTCCTCCAGTTCTTGTAGATGTAGGGTTAGCCTGTTTATTTGAAATGTTTCTACCTTTTCAAGGTAGGCCTGTGTCACTATGAACTTCCCTCCCAGGACTGCCTTTGCTGTGTCCCATAAGTTTTGGACTTTTGTGTGTTTATTTTCATTTGTTTCCAGAAACTTTTTGATTTCTTCCTTGATCTCATTATTAACCCATTCATTGCTTAATAGCATGCTATTCAATCTCCATGAATTTGAGTGTTTTTGAGTTTTTTCCTTGAGGTTGGTTTCTAGTTTCAGGCCCTTGTGGTCTGAGTAAATGCTTGATATAATTTCAATTTTCTTGAATTTGTTGCGACTTTTTTTTGTGTGTTCTAGCATGTTGTCTATCTTTGCAAGTGTTCCGTGTGCATTTGAAAAGAATGTGTATTGTGCTTCTTTGGGATGAAAGGCTCTCTATATATCAGTTAAGTCCATTTGGTCTAGGGCATTGTTTAATGTCACAATATCCTTGATATTTTGTTTGGAAGATGTATCCATTATTGACAGTGGGGTGTTAAACTGCCCTAGTAGAACTGTGTGGCTGTCTTTCTTGAAGTCCTCCAAGATTTTCCTTATGTATTTGGGTGCTCCTATGTTGGGTACATATATGCTTATAATCTTTGTGTATTCTTGATAAATTCTTCCCTTGAGTATTATGAAGCATTTGTTTTAAAATCTATTTTGTTTGATACAGGTATTGCTACACCAGCTTTTTTTTTTTTCCTGTCCATTTGCTTGTAATAATGTTTCTTTCTTCATTTTCAGGTTGTGTGGGTATTCTTTCTTCATTTTCAGGCTGTGTGGGTATTTTTTTCTGAGCTGGGTCTCTTGTAGGCAGCATATGTGTGGGTCATATTTTCTTATCCATTCAGCTTCCCCATGTCTTTGGATGGGAGCATTCAATCCACTAACATTTAAGGTTATTATTGAGAGGTACTTATACATTTTTCTCCCTTCATACCTGTGCTCCTCTATTTCATGCTCTTTTTTCCCTCTTCTTAAAGCAGTCCCTTTAACATATCTTGCAGTGCCAGTTTCATGGAGGTGTGTCCTTTCAGCCTTCTTTTGTCTGAGAAGCTCCTTATTTGGCCTTCCATTTTAATTGAGAGCCTTGCTGGGTACAGTAATAGTCTCAGTTTCAGCCCTTTGATTTTCATGATTTGGAATATTTGATGCCATTCCCTTCCGGCTTGGAGCATTTCCATTGAGAAGTCAGCTGCTAGCCTTATTGGGCCTCCCTTGTATTTTACCTCCTATTTCTCCCCTGCTGCCTTTAATATTCTCTCTTTGTCTTTAAAACTTGGCATTTTAATTATGATGTGTCTTGGAGTGGTCTCTTTGTGTTCATCTTAATTGGGACTCTCTGTGCTTCCTGAATTTGTGTAGCTTTTCTCCTCTTCAGGTTCAGGAAGTTTCTTGTCATTATTTTTTTTCATACAAGTTTTCTATCCCTTGCTCCTTTTCTTCTCCTTCTGGTATTCTTATGATTCAAATGTTGTTGTGTTTCATGTTGCCCTGAAGTTCCCTTAAGCTATCTTCATATTTTTTGAGTCTTTCTTTGTGCAGCTGCTATACCTGGGTATTTCTTTGTACTTTGTCTTCCAGCTCACTAATTCATTCCTCTTCCTCATCCGGCCTGCTTATAATTCCTCCTAGTATATTTTTTATTTCAGAAAATTTATTCTTCATTTTTTCTGGGTTCTTGTTCATACTTTCTACTTCCTTTTTCATGTTGTTGTAGTTCCCACTCAATTCTTTGTCTTTGTCTTTGAGTTCATTGAGTACCCTTATAACCATTCTTTTGAATTCTGTATCTGATAGTTTTCTTCTTCAATTTCACTTAGCTCTTTTACTGAGGAGTCTTCCATTCCTTTTGACTGCAGGTTCTTTCCTTGCCTCCCCATATTAGGTGACTCTTTCTGTTTGTTTCTGAGATTCCACATGCCCTGCTTTGCCAGCTGGCTTTGTTGGGAAAACTTTTGTGGTAGGGTTTCTGTGGGACTCAGTGGTGTGGTCTCTTTGATCTCCTTGTCTGGATGCTCTAGGGTTGCTCTTCCTTCTGTTTGTGTGGGCTCTCTTGCTGTACTTGGGCTTTACCTGTTGGTGGCTCTTTTGTTGGTGGGTTCTCCTTTCCGGCAGGTTTACTGGTGTTCGCAACTCCCACCTTGTCTTGTATGCTTTTGTACAGGCTTTGGTTAACAAAGCAATATTACAAGACCGCCAAACCTACGCCAGCAAACAAAACAAAACAAAAACCCTCTACCACATCAGCAGTCTCTACTGCAATAGAACTAATATTAATAAATGTGAAGAGGGATTACAAATACTATATGATATGACAAAAGGAACATGAGATGACTAGAAGAGAAGAAAATGTGTGGTAAGAGGGAGGAGCATCGACAAGAGTTGGGATAGAACTAAGGTGAAGAAAGGGAGACAGGAAAATTTACAACATAAGTTAAACACAAAAGGGTGTGGGAACAATAGGGTAAGAAGAGGGCAGGGTATACTATGAATTTTGAAGTAAAATTGAAAAGGTACCGGCCAATGGGAGCAAAATTGCAGAAAACCCACAGTAGGGTCCACAGCAATGCCAGTTGAACAAAATTAATAAAGGTGGAATGGGTATAAGAATATTGGAGAAAAGTGAAAAGTGAATTATGAGAGGTTTGCAATAAAGAAAAATGATTTTGAGAGGGTGGGGCAGCAAACTAATAAGGGTGAGGAGTAAAGTCCAGGTTGAGAGAGGGAAAAAAAGAAAGAATAAAAAGGGGGAGAGAGAAAATAATAATGAGATAAAATTTCTTACTCAAGTGGTCAGGGGCAGGGTGAAGGCTAAATGGAGTAAGACAGTAGGAGAGCATTCTGTAGGATTTAAAGTACTAACAAGTAGATAACCGATAGGAGATCCTTTGGAGAAGTATAGCAATAACTGTGATATTGCACCCAACTAGCCACTTTTTATAAAAGGTAAAAAATACATAAGACTCTTATTAGAAGGGAAAAGAATGTGAGCTGACTTTGGAAAGCAGAACACTTATGCGAGGTCAGATAGTGAAATACAGTGAGGGTAAGGAAAAGAAACTTGGCATAGTGTATGAGGGAGCAAAGTTAACCACAACAATAATAAAGCTAAGGAAGATAGTGAAATGGATAAAGACCAGGGAAGGGTACTGTGTGGGATTTGGGGTAACAATAATATGATAAGAAATATATAATCTGAATAAGAATAATAAAAAGTAAAAGCCCAAGAGTAGTGTGTTACTGGAATATGAGTGAAGTGAAAGAAGAAACATTTAAATGCAGTATGAGAGGAAGAATAAAGAAAACCAATCAAACAATGAAATCAAATAAACAAAACAAAAAAATTAATTAAATGGAAAGAAGAGAAATGAAAAATAAAAAGAAAAAAGAAAAGAAAATGCAAGTTCTGAAAGATAGTAAAGTGAAATTTGTTTCAGCTGTTGGTATTCACCTTCTGACTTTTTTCTGGATCTGTCTCTGGTCTTCTCTCAGCTCCAGGTCTTTTTGTTTTACACTTGGAAAAACAAAAAATTCTCCTGCTGACTTTCAACCTGCTAAGCGGGTTTTGCTGGTCTTCCCAGATGCTGCAGGCAGAGTAGGGCTGGGCTTGTATTTTTCCTTTCCTGTGGTTCCCCCAGGATGGGGGCTCAGTCTGGTCCACAATAATCCCAGGTGTCCAGTTTCCAGCCCACACCCTCAGAGCACGGTGTGGCCCATACTGTCCACTCTGCATACATGTGCCAGGCCAGAGCCTCTAACCCACCTCATTGTGCAACCCTTTGATTAGTTTGTGAGGTGCACTGAGTGGGGGCAAATTGCACTCCTCCACCTCCCTCTTTGTTGGCCTGGGCGCTCTGCATATGAAGTCCCTTCGGCTCAGTTCAGTTCTGTTGAATTAAGTCTCTCTGGGCTCTGTTACCTCTCTGAGCCCCTGCTGCTCCCCTTTGATCAATCTGTGTGGTGTCTTGAGTGGGAGCAAATCATGCCCCACTCCTCCCTCTTCACTGACCCGGCTGCTGAGCTCAAGAGTTCCTAGCACAGTGGCTGAGAGCCTCTTTTGAATGAATTCCCCTTGGTTGTGGATGGCCATTCCTAACAAGCACCTGGCTTTCCACACAGACCAACTCCCTTACTAATGCACAGATTATCTGGGTCACAGCCAGTCAAAGCCCATCTCTTCTCTCATCTCCAGATGTCACCTGGCTCCCTGATTTCTCTGGCACTGTCCTGGCCAACAACCACTGTCCCAGCTGGGGTATGCTGCTGGCTGGTACTGTGTCTTTATCCCCTCAGCAACTTTAAGCATCAGGTCTCTCCTGGCTTGGGTCTGTGACTTCCCCACTCTAGGAAGGGAGGGAGCTGTTAAGTTACAATCCCTGACCTGGCTCTCCTCCAAAGCTCCTGCAACAGCCTCGGTCTCCAGCGCAGGGCCTGGGGACCTTCCCGTTGGCCTACAAAATCCCCTTACCGTCTGTTTCCAAGCGTCCTCCTCTACAATGTTTGGCTTCCAAGTTTCATATCCTGAACTATTATTCTTAACAGCACTGCATATAGGAGTTATTCACTTCATGCTTCTGATTATTGGCCAAATTGCCATAGTACAGAAGAAAGAGTATAACTCTGGAGTTGAATGGTCCAAGGACATCCTGTTTCTGTTATACGTTAGCTATGTAGCCTTGGGCATGTTGCATCTCAACCATTTTTAAACATGAAAAAAAAACCCTCACCTGAGGATATGTTCACTTATTTTAAAGGGAGAAGGGAGAAACAGGGAGGGAGGGAGAGACATTGATCAGTTGCCTCCCTTATGCTCCCAGACTGGGGATCAAACCTGCAACCTAGGTACGTGCACTGACCAGGGATCAAACATGCAACCTTTTGGTGCACAGAATGATGCTCTAAACACCGGAGTCACCTGGCCAATGTTCATCTTAACCATTTTTAAATGTGCAGTTCAGTGGTGTTAAGTACAGTACCCTGTTGTGAAACCAATCTCCAGATCTCTCTTCATCTTGCCAAACTCATTGAACGGCAACTCCCCAGTCCCACCCACTCAGCCCCTGGCACGCACCATTCTACTTTCTGACTCTGAATCTGCCTACTTTAGGTAAGGAAGAGGGCATTTTCTCACCAGAAGATTTAAACACACTTAAAAGAATAGATATACCTACCGCTTCAGGATTTGGCCTGGCTTGTATTCTTTCTTGTAGAGATGGGGTATCAACTGTTCCTAAATCAAAGGGAGACATTCAGCTTCATTACTTACTTTAACTGAAAAAAGAAATTGACAATTAAACTTCCTTTCCATGTGATATGACAGTCAGTGAAATCCTTCTCCATGACTTCCTGCACCTGCCTACCTTTTTTATTTAATAGGCTTATAACCTCTTTAATAACATTCCTATGACTTTTTAAAAAAGATTTTATTTATTTATTTCTAGAGAGGGAAGGGAAGGAGAAAGAGAGAGAGAGAGAAACATCAATGTGCGGTTGCTGGGGGCCATGGCCTGCAACCTGGGCATGTGCCCTGACTGGGAATTGAACCTGCGATACCTGGTTCGCAGCCCGCGCTCAATCCATTGAGCTATGCCAGCCAGGGCACATTCCTATGACTTTTAAAACACAGACTATAGTTCTTTGTGATGCTAGGCAAAGACTCTGGGTGAAGAGCCCAGCATTCCCAATATATACGAGTATATACAGGATCCAGCAGAAGTAATGCCTGTTTGAGTGTGGTTGGTAGGGTAATAAAATGGGTGCAATAATTTATAGTTGTAATTTGAACATTTTGCCTAAAATGTCATGTGTTGTGCTTGAGCGTGATATTGTTTTGTTACAGAATTATATGCTTATGACTTTGTAATAAAAAGGGGGCATTATTTGTGCTGGACCCTGTATTTTAGTCACATTGTGTTAACACAATACTTTCTGGATTTTAAGCACTTTTGCATGTATTATCTCAATTAATCCTCACAATCATCCTGAGATGTAGATACAATTGTAGAAGTCCTTCACCAGTACACGGATCCAGACTGCCTTGGTGCTGTCAGAGCCATTCTTGCTGTCAAGTTCACTCTGGAGATCCCAAGGGACAGCTGCATGACTGTCCCAGTACTCCAGAATTCAGGTGTTCTAAATTTTGCTCCTCATCTTGCCTATTTTTATTGGTTTCAAATTCCTATTTTTATCGGGTTCAAATTCCTATTTTTATCACTACCTCATGTTTCTCATCAAAAATATAATTTGAAATTGTTTCACTTAAAAAAATGAATGACAATAAAAAGTTTTAAATTCCACTCAGTTCAAGTTCCTACAGAGCAAGTCTCCCAGACTTTTTTGTTTACTTATGTGTCTGTAAATTCTCTTTGGAGGGCAGTTTTTTTCCCTGCCTGACAGTACTCCAGGGATCACATGATCTAAGATCATAATAAATGATTTTGCAGTAGTATCCTCAGCTTCATCTTTAGACCATGCTCCTGAGAATGCCACAGATTTGATATTTGCCTGGAAACCACTTCTTAATCTTATCATTATTTGCCATTTCTCTGGAGAGGCATCATTTGTCATTTCTTCAAAATCAGCAAATCCTGGCTGTTATTGGTTAACAGCCCCTATTTTAGTTTCTCTTTCTCCTCCCATTTTACTATAAGTGGGCAGCACTTTTGAATACCCTGGGTGGAAATTGCCTTAGCTGGATAACCCAGTTCATTGGAGTGTTTTCTACCTTCCATGTTACTACAGGGAATATTTAATAAACTTTCTGAAATCCGATACCAAAGATCTCCTTGTATCAGTTTTCAATAATATTTCCTCACTTCTCTCATCAATAGCCTCTTTAAAGTATATTCTTCCAACATGTGCTCAAGGCACCTGCATCTTTCACTTAAAGGATTAAACAAAAACAAACAAACAAACAAACAGACAAACAAGCAAACAAACAGCAATTCATGGACACAGACAACAGATTAGTGGTTACCAGAGAGGAGGATGGGGGGTGGCGGGAGGAGGAGGAGGGTGTAGCGGGGATAAATGGTGATGGAAGGAGGCCTGACTTGGGGTGGTGAACACACAGTGCAATATACAGATGATGCATCGTAGCATTGCATGCCTGAAACCCATTTAATTTTATTTGCTGTGTCCATGGCACAGACTGACACACCGTGCCATAGTCTGCATGAGTCCGGTGTTGGAGAGTTGTGACTGCACCGCCTCCGGCGCCATCCCAGACACAACTGTTTCCAGTCAGGTTTTCTTGTGTGACTGGCTCAGTGAGTCACACTGGTTCCTTGTTCCAGAGAGTTTGAAACATATTTTCCAAGCTCCTGGAAAGTCCAGCTGCTAAAACAACCATATTTTCCAAACCATTTTGCCATTTATTCCATTTGGTAAATAGCACCAAAAATAGCTGAAGTCCACATATCAGCAGTATGTAAAACCCAGTGAAACTGTCTCCCGTGTGTACCTGCTTTTATTAGTGTTACCTATTTTTACCTCTCTAGTCCAAGGAAAAGTAAGCAGGACACCTCAATCATGGAAATGCTATAGCTTGCAGGGTATTTGGTAGTTTCACCTCTTTCACCAGTAAGTCGGTGGTGTTCACCCTGAGGGGAGACCTTGACATGTTACATCAGAGTCTCCTGTGGGGCCAGCCAAATCACAGGCATACCTAATTTTATTGCACTTCACTTTAATGTGTTTCACACCTGTTAAGTCTTTTACAAATTGACTGTAAGACCCTCCAGCAAAAAAGATTATGAGTTGCTTTACTGCCATGGTCTGGAACGTACCCACAGTACCTCCGAGGTATGTCGGTACAGTACACAGTTTTCTCCATCAACTGCCTCCCCAAATTCTGGCATGCCCTTTGGGTTTTGAAAGGTACCACAGGTAATTGTGAAACTATATCCCTCTCCAACTCATCAGTACCAGTTTCGAACTACTGAGAGAGACTTTGATCCTGGATATGCAGTGTTTAATTTCTTTTCAGAAAGGAAGTAAATAATTGTTCTTAGGCACCTTGTATTCATTTGGGGTGGGTGGATCCAGGTAAAAGGGCATATCTACTTAATAGACATGCCCATAGTTACTAAGAGGAGAAGTTATTCCCATAAAATGTTATTGAATGCTTTTGTTTAGATAAATTGAATGTCCTTACTACAAATAATGAATTTTGCTTTTCTCCTTTCCTTTATATGAGAGGTCAGCATACTTTTTGGTAAGCAGCCAGATGGGAAACCTTTTTAGCTTTGAGAAACATTTGGTGTGTTACAACCACTCAGCTCTGCCTGAGCATGAGGCTGTCCGGCCAACACGCAGCAGACTGGGTGTGGATGTGCTCCCACAGAACTGTATTTACAAAGCAGGTGGCCACCAGATTTGGCCTACAGGCCTTGTTTGCTGGCCCCCCTTTCTTATAGCACAAAGGAAGGTATTAATCCCTCCCTTTAATTTATGGGCCACCCCAGGTGATTTACAGGACTCAGCGGCTCTCTGTCATCTGGAGGCTCCTCCTACTTTTTTCCCACTGTCCTAACAGTGTGTCTACTTTCCCTCTTTCCCCTGAAAAGGTCATCCTTGCCTGCTTCCAAGACACCAAGACCTGGCCTGTGCTGTCTCTTAACCATGTGGTTTGGAGTTGCCTCATGCACAGAAGTAACTTTAAGCCCTTTGCATCTGTGGCTTATTCCTAACGACTTAGCCTCTCTATCCCAATTATCTTAATAAGCCTATGCTCTTTTCTTTTGAACTTTTCCCGATGACAGGGTACAATAAAACATGGAGTAAACAAGCTTATGTAGATATCTTTCACAGTGGCAACCAGATGTCAGCAAGGACAAGGTCACAGCCCTACAGGGTAGAACTCACCTGGACACACGCAGTTGCACCTGATGCCCTGCTGGATGAAGTCTGCAGCCACGGCCTTGGTGAGGCCAATCACGGCTGCCTTGGTTGTGCTGTACACACATCTGTTCACCACTCCTGGGGCAGGGGGGAGGGTTCGACAATGGAAGGAATAAAAAAAAACAACAGTCTCCTTTAGACAGGGAGCACAGAGAAGTGTCCCAGTAACCATTGTCAGGTTTTCTTCCCCTAGTAGGGCCCAGATCCAGTGTCTGTGAGGCAGTCCCCATAGCCACAGGCAGTCACCTCCCGGCACTGTGATGGCACTTTGGCACTTCGCACGAAGCTCTGTCAGGAGACTGTCACACTGTGGAAGGCATGTGTTTACCTGACACTCGCTCCCATTAGAACTGGGAATTCTTTGGGAGCAGAGGTACTTAGTGGGTGATGCATACAACCTTTTCTGATTAATTGAATGGGTAAATGTTTCCTTCCCCCTCTTGATTCCTTCTTCCCGCTCTTGATTTTCACCTCCATATTCATTAGAAGAAATAAAAGGAGGACAAAGCAAAAATCCTCTAATTTTATTTTATGACTGGTTCACATCTCAGGCAAAAGGACTAGTAATTAAGGAATGCAATACCAATTTTTAAGAAGCGGTGTTGGAGTTAGGTGTTGGGTTTGTGACTTGGACTGTGCTTGCTCCCTTAGCTCTGGATGGTGTGTGGGTGTGTGCATCATCACCCCAGGAGACAGGCCTACCTTTGATGCTGGAAGCCACAGAGGACATGTTGATAATGTTGCCAGATTTCTGAGCAAGCATCTGCCAAAAGAAAACCATTTTTTAAGGAATGCCACTCTGCAGGCTAAAAATACTACCTCGTTTAAAGATCTGCATTTACTTAGGGTTTGTAGAACCATCCTGTTAGCTATTAACACTGAGTGCTTTAAGCAGTTGTAACGCTCTCACCCTATCATTGCTGGGAGCTTATGGCTCAAGCTGCCGTCTCTGGCAGGAACAGTTCCCAGGGGGTTACCACCTTCCTGGGGCATAAGAGCATCAGCAAGACCAAGAATGAACTGTGAGCTAAGTGGAAGGACGGTAATCCTTTCTATGTGTTCCTGATGTCGGAATACTCTCATTTCCATTCAACACAGTATTTGTTGAATTCCCACTGTGGTTGGGCATTGTGCTAGGTCCAGGAGATGCAAAGGCAAATGACACGGTGCCTGCCTGTAGGCAGCTGCCAGTCTGATTGGAGTGGCTGATTTAACCAGCCTCCAGCGACAGCAGAGACCTTCACAGAGAAGAGGGTGGTGGTGGGAAGGGACCACTGATCCAGGCTGCGGGACACCCAGAACTGGCTCTTCAGGAGGAAATATGTGGGTTGATTTTTGGAAACTAGAGTGTTAGAAAAATAAAAGAGAAGTGTGTTTGAAGGAGAGGGAACCCTAAAGGGCTCTGTGGAGGAACTGGGAGGCAGGGATGGGTCTGGCTGCAGTGCAGGGTCAGAGGAACGAAGCTGCAGGGGCCACCAGGGCGAACTGTAGGCATTTGGGCTTCACCCGGAAGGCGAAGCAGTGGTGAGAATGAAGGGTTCAAGGCAGGGGAGGAGCAGTATGTTCAGACTTGGGGTTATAAAGATGGCTCTGGTATCCTGTAGAGGAGACCCCTGGGACCTGAGGCAGTGATTTAGGAAAGGGGCGATAAAAGCAGAAATGTAGAAATGTCTGGACAACAGAGGAGGAGGTGGCTGAGGCAGCAAGGGAAGGACTTGGTGAGTGGTTACGTGCAGCCTGCCCCAACTACAGAAGTGTTTCCTAGGAACACCTCCCTCAGAACTCTTCTGCTAATGCTAACGTTTGCACTTCCTGAAAGGAGGGTCCCTGGCTGTTTTGTTCTTCTAGACAGAGCACACAGTAGGTGGTCAATACAATGATGAACCAAAATAAAGCGCAGACTACTGGGCCCTGACCTAACCCTAAAGGAATATGTAATGAAATAGCTGCTCCAAGTTAAAAAGTTTTCAAATGAACTTTGTATGTTATTAATTATAACACATATGTATGTTTTCAAGATAATACATGTATGGGCAAGGACAGGAGTACCCAAGAATGTTTTGGGGGGAGAAGTAAGATGTGGGGAGAATTCCTGCCTCGTGGGCGCTAACTTCTCACTAAATCAGAGGCTGAGGAAATGACCATAAGGAACCAGGGCAGACAGTGGACAGGAATGTGGTGAAGAGTTCAAATTGGGGGAAATGAAAGAACCAGTGAAAGGCTAGAAGAAAAAACTGCATGTTCTGTATCATGAAAACCAGGAGAAAAGCTTCTAAAAGAAGTCTTCACCGAACACAAACAACTTCCGTGGGGGTGTGTGAATTTCTGCAGCAGCTCTCAGACAAAGAGGTGCAGGCTCAGGGCAGGCGGACGACTGGCTGGGCCCGGGGTGAGGCTGCAAGACTGTGCTTCCTTATGGCATTCTTCCTACGTGGGTACGTAGCTACTGACTGCACCTCAAAGCAGATTCTAAAGCAACCCTAAGGCATTGTGCTGGGTGGACTAACAGGACCCACGGAGAGCCTGAAGTCAAGAAAAATGGCAGAGAGAAAATATTCACCCCAACTTGTCTGTCTATATAATAAAGAATGTAATAATGCAATGAGGTTCACACCAAACGAAATGAAACAAAACAAAACAAAACAAAAACAAACCAAACAAACCTGGACAGTTAGTACAGTACAATGATGTTGAAAACCAAGCCTTGAAGCTATTCTTATCAAAATTAGTAAATAGCATAACCCATTTTTATTCATTTTATTATGCAGTTTTATTGAGCTATCATTGTCTTATAGAACCCATTTTTAATACACATATAATACATACAGCCCAATTTAATATATAAAGATGGGCTATTAAGTAAGTTCACTGTCCAATCCTCTGAAATGCAGTAACTCGGGTAAAACTTTAGGACATGTGGTGCTGCCTCTTGTCCCCTGTATTATCCATTCAACCCAGGTCTCTCTGCTGACTCTGGAGCCCTCAGTCCTTGTCTCCTTCCATTCTGCCTTCTCAGCCAGCTCAGTACCTGCCGCCATTGTTGAACGCTCCTCTCAGCTCCCCATGCATGCAACAGTCCTCTCTGGCAAGGACAGCTCTAACATGAAATGCCTGGTACATACTGATGCCACAATACGTAGGACGGATGTCCCAGAAACTCAGGCAGAAGCTGGAAAGATCTCTAAAGATTCCCTATAGCTTCATCCCACTCTGGCCCAGCCCTTTTCTTCCCCTTGACCAGAGCTCAGCTCCTAAACTAGGCAGATGTTGGCTTTTGGATCTTCAGTGATTCCACGCCTGACTTCCAACTGGACTGACAAGCCAGATTTGTATATTCATTCAACAAAGTCTTCTAAGCACCTCTACCTGCTGGGAGCCCTTCTAAGGTACAGCAAAGGGTTAAAAATTCCACATATGCAAATTATTGCCATAACAGATTTTCCCTTCCATTCCATAGTGGACCTTGGATTGTATATGACCTCTTCTTACAGTATTTTCAGCTTGCTCTCTGCCTTTTGATTGATCTTCCAGTTTTGGAATGGTTTTCTGTCTGTCTATCCATGAACAAGCATTTCCTACAAGAGTTCCTATGTTTTGTCCATCTGATGTTTCAGATCTGCCTAAGCTCCCATCCTGGCCTCCCCTGGAAAGTCCCAACCAGTTCATGTGCCCCGTGGTTACCAAACACAGAGCATCCTAGACAATGAGGTCTGGAAGGGGCTGCCTAATCTATCACCCTCATTAAAAAAAAAAAAAGATGCTGAGAGGGCACAAGTGCTGTATCCCAGTTTACAGAGCGAGTTAGGGGCAAAGGTCAGGCAATACCTAAGGTCTTCTGAGGACAGGGCCAGATTTGACCAGTGGCACTGACTCCTGATTCCCCATTCCTGTCATTAATGTCTCGTGGGATTTTTATTTAAACAAATGAGTGTTACTGGCTCGTGTGGATTATTAAGATGCTTTAAATCATAGACAAACTCATTAATGTACAAGTCAGTATTTGACATTTTAAGTTAACACTTATGTACATGTTTGTATTTCAGCATCACTGCATCTACTCCTGCTTCTTTCACTGACATTTGTCAAGCCTTCCAGACCTTGGGCTGGTTGTACAAACGAGCCCCACCCATGTGGCACAGCCACGCCACGGCTGCCTGAGCTTCCCCCTTGACCACACCTCTGCCTCTCTCCCTATCCAATGCTAAGGATCCAGCTTCCAAAAACACATTCAACTTCCAAATAACACAGATTCTCATGAACTCTAAATGAACAAAACAGGTAATTTATATATATATTTTTAAAAAATTGCTACTTCAACATTCTGTGGATTTAAGCAAAGATCCTGTTCAGGCACTAAATAAGTAGATTAAAAAAATTCCTTTGTTACTAAGTCAATTTTCCTAATTTTCTTTTTAACATTCATCCGGGAAGGAGAAAGAGGGAGAGAAACATCAATGTGTGGTTGCCTCTCACGTGCCTCCTCCTGGGGACCTGACCCACAACCCAGGCATGTGCCCTGACTAGGAATTGAACCAGCAACTGTTTGCATTGCAGACTGGTGCTCAATCCACTGAGCCACACCAGCCAGGGCCATCTGGATCCTTCTTGACATCAGGTGGAATTGTTAGAGCAAAATATCAGCCTCACCGTGTCACTGTAAAGCTCTCTCCGGCCCTGGGTTGGGAAGCTGCAGTATGCCCATTTTCTCATCCAGTGGCGAGGAAGAGAGTGGCTCTCCTCCCTTCACTGTAAGGGTTCAACTTACAGTCCTGAACTGAGCAGGCTCTGCACCCGGTCAGTCCCTTCCACTGTCTGGGCCTCTGACGCCTGCTACTGTGGGCTTAGAAGCTCATTTGAAATTCACGCCTCCCTCTCCCAGAGCACCTAGTGTGGTGCTTTTTGTCAAAAGGTACTTAATGATGGTAAAATAAAATTTAAAATATTGCTGAGTTGTGAAGGCTGGAGAATTCAAGGGTAGCTGACTCAGGAGGAATACTATCTCTTCAGCACACACTGTGTCTTCCCTGTTTGGGGTCTCTGTAGCTTAGCTAAAAACAGGAGTGTTGGCAGAAATCTCAGGGTACAGAGCAGCAATGGGGCACATCCACCTTGAGGATATGTGCCTAGACACCAAAATTCAAGAAGGGGCACAGATTCCAGGGTTCAAACCCTGGCTCCAACCACTTGCTAGTTCTATGACCTTGGCAAGCCACACAGCCCCTCTTCACTCTCCGCACTGCGATGTGGTAGGGTAGTGCCTGCCACGTCAGTGTGCCGCCCCTCGGCCTGCCGGCTGCCCCTGTTCCAGGAACCCCCTTCCCAGGCACTCAGCTGGGCCAACTGATATCCTAGCCTCTGTTTCTTCATGGTACTTACAACCACCCATGATACGTATTTGTTTGATTACATATTATTCTGTCTCACCCCTCAAAAAAGGGGACTCCCTGATGGAGGGACTTTGTCCTGTTCTCTTCTGCACCTAGGATGGAGCCTGGCGTGTAGAACGTGCTTAATATTCCTTGAATGGATAAACCAGAAGGCTCAATGAGTTAATTTATATTAAATGCCTCGATGTAAATGTTCAATACAGGTTAGACATTATGTCAGCTGTCGTCACTCTCTGGCATGTGTGGGGATCCTTTCTAGGTGTTCAGTGAGGAGCCCTAAGTACTCGGCGGGGCTCAGCCTCCTGGAGACGGTCTTACTTTGGGAAGAAATGCCTTGATCATCAGGTACATGCTGCGGACATTGAGGTTCATCGAGAAGTCCCAGTCCTTCTCTTCGCAGTCCAGGATGGTTCCATGGTGGACAAACCTGGAGCAGTGAGCAAACAATGGGGGAATGATCACTTAGCGAGATTTCGAGTCAATTTTCTCATCATTTTTATTACCACATATTAACTGAGACCACTGTCTCATCCCTTACCAAGATTTTTAACAATTCAAACATAAGTATCACTTAGTATATTAGTAACTAGCCCAATAACTTAAACTAAATAAATTTATTCAAAAACAGTATCCTTCTTTTAAAAGAAGAAGGTGAGAGTTTGGGGTCACCAAACCTAAGAAGCTCTATACCAAGTGCACAGGGAACATTGAAAACAAATTTAAATCAGAACAGCACACCTGCCCTGACTCCTATTTCAAGAGCAACAGCGCCCCCACGTGGCAAAGATTTAACATTCTCTGGGGAAAAGAAGAGGTGAGGAAAATAGCATCTCCTGGTAGCAAAGTAACATTGCTACTGTACCCTTCTAACATATGGAGAAAACAGAACAAAATAACACAAAAACCTTAAAATAAACTTCACAAAAGATTCCTTCAGGAATCTTTCTAAAGACTGGAGTCCTAAGTAATTTCACTCTCCCCTGGACCAAAATGATGTAATTAATGATACAATATGACTGGTTATGACTATACTTCCAATTCAATCGAATGACAGAAAGAACCACAAGCTCCATTTCTATACTCTTAGCTGAAAATTTAATAAATGCTCAAAAACTAATTTTTTTCTAGCTGATTTTGTCATGGTTCTGCATATATTCTTATAAGAGGGATGAGCAGGTTGTTTATAAAATAGATCGTCACAAAATGTCACTTTGACTTAATTCCTATACCTTGTAACACATGGTAAACTACATGGTAATACATGATAAACTATGGCCAGATTGAGGCTTCCCCCAGCCCCCCAGGCTCTGAAGCATGGTTAGGAAAAAACACAAATATATATTAGAAGGTTCTAGGATTTTTCTATCAATCCAGCGGCACAAATATAACACTACATGAGAAGAGTGGAATTTCATAATGTATCAACTTAGCTTCTGTGTCAGCCTCAATTGTACTCTTTGCTACTGTCGTGCCCGAGAGGGCACAGTATTAGCTAGCAGTCACTGCATCTACAGGTAGCTGCTCCAGTTCCAGTCTCATCATTCACGTCTAGTGCCACCCTAGGAAGTTTAATGGAGCCATGCCTTTTGTGCTGCATACAAAGGAACAATACGAAACTGCTTGCTGGGATTCATTGTCCTAGTAAGAAACGCTGAGCTTGGAACAGTGTAAAGGACTTGGTGGAATGTTATGCCAAAACTTGGGAACATCTGCATTTCAATAAACTGAGTTCTTGGCTTATAATAAATATGCTTAGTTTTAAAGACTCTCTGCTGGAAAACAGTCTTGCACTTTATTTTATATGTCCTGGTGGAACATCAGTGGCAAGCCCATTGGTGTGAGCTTGTCACCAGACTTAACGATCAACACCTTTCCGTCAGCACCAGCTATCTCGAACAGGCCTCCCTGCCTTCAGTCCCCGAACCCGCGTCTCTTCTCCGGCAGTCTACTTGAAGTAAAAATTCTGTTCCAAAATTAAGCCATGTTTCCCAAGGACTATATTATCGTTCATGATGAATAATTTGGCCATATTATCAAAATTCTTTTAATGAAAGTCACAGAAAACTTTCTGTAAGGACAGTGAAATAAAAAAGTTCTGAATTACCCAGCAACATTAAAGAGAACATCAAGTTTCTCAACTTCTTTGGCAAACTGATCAATTTGTTTTTTCTTCGTGACATCAAGAGCCCGCGTTTGAATACCTGAAAAATAAAACAAGAGGTACTATTTCCCTATACCCAGAAAAAACATCTAGCCTTGGAGACTCAGCTGCTTGGGAGTGTGGAAACCGCGGGCCTGTCCAGTTAGGCTACACGGGGCTGCTGACCATTAGTAGGGTCTGAAGAATCTCAGCAGTCAAAGCCTTAAAGTCTTCCCCACTGGGCCTCCCAGTAACACACCTCTCCCTTCGTTTCTCTCCATTCTCCGAATTGATTAATGAATGTCCTGAGTAAAGACTTTCCAGGGAGGTATAAATGATCCGCCCTAGATGCTTCTCAGTAAGCAAGCAGTAACAACTGCACGTGGGCTCTTCCAGCTTGCTCTATCCTCCAGGGGTTGAGTCGCACGTACAGAAATTCTGAGTTCTGTCTGTGTGTGCAAGGGCAGCGTGGTGGGAAAAGAGATGATTTCTATGTGTGAGTTTAATGTTTATTGCAATCCCATTATTCATTGACCTGACTTTGTTGGTCAAGGGTCTCTTCACATATTTCTGGCCTAAAATGCAGGAGGAAATGAGGCCAGAAGGAGGGATAAAACGTCCGAGGCCTTGAAAGATCTGCCCGGCGGCTGGGAGAGGTGCGCTGTGCTAGTGACTAGAAAATTCCAGACGTTCTCTAATGAGAGCCACCCCATTATTGTTATGTTTTTTTAAACCGACATGGTCTGTTATTCTCTTTTGGATATAAGGAAAAACTATGCATAAACAAAGAAAGGGAAGACTGAAATTGAGGGTCAGGAAGACTCCTTTCCTTTCCCCTTCGTACTTTCCAGTGTAACAGCTAGCTCTGCTTCAAGCTGGAGGAACGGTAACAACGTTCGGAGGCCTTGTTTGTGTTGGTGCGTGTAGCCTTTTTTGTTCTGAGGAGCAGCTAACTGAGGAATGAGGTCTCTGTTCGATTTCTTTCAGAGTGACTCCGATTGGAGTTATTCAATCCAATTGAATTGGGTTGGATTTGGGCTCAGTGAGCTGCAGTAAGGGCTGACAAACACATAAATACTTTGGGCGATCTCTCTGGGTTTCAAATCATGACATGTGATTTAGGGCAGAGCTGTCTCCCATGTGGTAACCACTAGCCAGAGTGGCCGCTGAGCAAGGCAGGTAGCCTGAACTGAAATGTGCTGCCAGAGTGAAATACACGTGGACAGTGAAAGTTTAGTATGAAAAATAAAAGAATGTAAACTATTCCATTAATAATTCTTGACTGAGTATATGGAGTTTAATAAAGTACATTTGTGTAAATGAATTTTCACCTGTCTCATTTTCCTGTTTTAAATGTAGCCACTGGAAAACTTAAAATAACACGTGCAGCCCACGTGGTGTCGCTGAGGGGGCGCCGCTGCTAGAAGGGGCGGGTGCAGAAGTGAATGCAGTCCTAAAGAGTAAACAACTGTTACACTTCCACATACAATTTTCTTATTAGGTACTGAATCCTTCAACATGTTGGATAACTGAAACACTATCTAAACGTTTGTTTACACCTTTAAGTATGCAGATTTTGTCTGTAGGTTCATGGAATCTAAACTTGGTTACCAGAGAGTCAGCTCTAAAAAGCAGGCCAGTGGAGCTGAGCAGCTAAGGAATTCTCTTTCAGAACCTGAGTAGTGTTCCTTGATAATACCCTGTGGACTCTGAATCCCAAGTTCAAGCGGCTGAGTTGCTTACCTGGGTACTTTTCCAGTTCCTGCAGTTTGGACTCATTGATATCTGTGGCTATGACTTTGGCACCTTCTCTTGCAAAAGCCTGGTAGACACAATGCACAAATAAATGCTTTGTTTACTTGGTTAAACTGCTCTCATGAATGGAGAGTCATTCAGCCTTTTCCCTTTTACCCTATTTTCATTGCTACCCCCTCCCCATAAAATATGTGGAATTTTAAACTAACTAGTCTCACCTCACCTTCCCATTGTTGTTTTTATCATTAATTAGAATAGCACAAAATATACTGTGTTTGTCATCTAGCTTTGTCCCCTTAAGTAATGTAAAATCTATGTGTTTTAATAAAACTACACTTCTGTTATTAATACCACTCAAAATACTGCTCTGTGACTTGATAGCCCATTTTTAGCAGGTTTTTATTATATCCCCATTTCTTAGTATGTTCCAAATAATAAGAGAAAAATGGGTCATTTTAACACTTTTCCCCTTGAAAGTATACTTCTATTTTCATAAATGGCAAACCATACCCTGCCATTATCCTTAATGTGTAGGATATTAGCTCAGGTGTGGGGTATGATGTATGACAGTCGCAGTGACTGGACAGGCTGAACTCTGAAGTCCTTTATCTGAACTGGCATAATTTCAGAAAGCTGTGCACTCCTGTAAGGCCCCACAGTGAATTCCCATGGTGCACACTGAGAGAAGTCTGTTTCTCAGAATCAAAGGTTATCTGTAGCGTCACATAACAAACACATGAGGTGTTTATTCTTTCATCTACCTGGGGTCGGGAGTAGCGACATTTTCTTTTTGTAAGTTTAGACAACAGAAGCACAAGAGTCAATAAAACAAAAACAAAAACAAAACAGTAGAGCAGAATTAGCCAACCATGGAATCTGTCTACACACTTCAACACTTCAACAGGGAGCGAGGAAACAAGAGATGGTGACTTACTAAGGCAGCCGCCCGGCCGATCCCCTGAGCAGCGGCTGTGAGGATGATGACTTTCCCATGAAGTCGCTCCATAACGGAACCTGTGGTTTAATCTAAAGTCAGGTTTATTTAATGGCTTACACAATAGCACACGGTTGTGTGCCAGCAGTAACATCCAGAGTGGATAGTTCAATGTACACCTTTAAGAACTTGAAGGCAGTACCTCTGTACAAACAGTCCCATCATCTGATACTTACTCTAAATACTTAGATTTGTATATAAAAAACATTTAGCAGAATCCACTGAAGTGGTAACTGAGGCTGACATTGGACTTGAACCTACCTTTCATTTCTTCAGGACCTGAAGAAGAGGGCCTCTGATGCTGATCGAGCAGGAGTGGAGTCCATCCCCTCACCACCGCCACCATCCTCCCTACTGCTGTGGCTCTGTGTGTGTGTGTGTGTGTGCATGCACGCACCCTGACTACGCAGGAGCTTCTTGCTTTCTCATGTGAGCTCTGGTCAGGGATTGCACTATTAATCGTCTACGGTTTTTCCTTGTCCCTTACAAAGATGTCATGATTGGCCTCAGGGACTCATTGAGCACAAGAGCTGGAAAACCAAATCATGAGCAATACCCTGATTCTGCAGAGGAGGAAACTGACCTGGCCCACTCAGAGTCCTGGAGCAGGTCAACAGCACAGCCGGAGCCAAACTCAGGCCTCCTGGCTCTTCTGCTGTGTGAACTTTCCACCCACAAGGCTGCCAGTCCTCTTTTAAAGTTTAAGCCTACAGCAGTGACACTTTAATGGACACAATCAATCATTTTTAAAAGGCAGGACTGAGAAGTTCTGACATAGGGGAAAGAGAATGTGCATGAGGTATTTGGCCTGTGCTCAGCTTATCGATTTTATGGTGAGGAATGGTTAGTGATGAGGTTGGGGTGGTAAAGAGTCAAATGATGAAATGACACTGTCTTCAGGGAACCAGGTGGCTTCTCTTATGCTGCTGTCTTTAATGTGTGCCTCTGACCTCACACCAAGTCACAGAAAAGCTGCACTGCTTCGTCCCAGTGCATCAGATAGGCATCCAGGCAAAAAAAGGGGCAGGTGGTGGTGAGTTAGGTGGGTGTTGAGTGAACCAACCCAAACAGTGCACGTACAACTAACCTAAACAACCCCTCTGCTCAATTACCTGCTTGATAAAGTACAGGTAGCTAGCTAGTCCGTGTAGAGGGCACACATGATCTATTCCTTTTTTTTAAAAAAAGGATTTTATTTATTTATTTTTAGAGAGAGGGGAAGGGAAGGAGAGAGGGAATGAAACATCAATGTGTAGTTGCCTCTTGTGTGCCCCCTACTGGGGACCTGGCCCGTAACCCAGGCATGTACCCTGACTGTGAATCAAACCAGTGACCCTTTGGCTCACAGGCCAGCACTCAATCCACTGAGCCACAGCAGCCAGGGCTGTTCCTTTCTTTTTGAACTTATCTCTGTTCTCTTCAGCTCTACTTGACTTTTTGCTGTAGTCAGTGGGTGTTTCCATTTCAGGCCTCTACATTAAGAGGGGCTAGTTCCTCCTGTGGGCAGTCAGCACTGAAGGATTTATGGGAGAGTGCGATGGGATCAGAAATGTACTTTAGAAAGATCACTGTGGAGAACAGACCTGGGCAGCGAGAAGGGGTGCATGATGAGACCTAGCCTGGTTACCAATGCACTAACTTCAAAGAGATTATGTGCTTTGCCCAGGGTTTCCCAGCTATGAATTCAAACCCAGGCCTGACTGCAGGTACAAGGGAACCTAGTTTGGGTTGCTCTTCTCAGGAGGACCTCACACACACAGTGGACCCCATGTGGGGCCAGGGCCCTGAGCCTCCTGGACCTGGGTACTGGTGGCTGACCAACAGGCTGCCTGTGCTCTCAAGCCCATGCTGAATCAGTGCTGAAGCCACCTTTCTGTGGGCCAGTGCCTGAGAGTGGCGTGAACACAAAGGCAGACACATTTCTAATAGACACAAGGCTCCTCCCATGGGCCTCGGTGACCCTCCTGCAAAGGCTCCCACACAGCCTGGCGTTTCGCCCCCTCCCCGTTGGTGCTGGCTCTTCCGGCCTTACCTAGCTGTCTCCTCAGATTCTCTCACACCACCATTTCCCCTAATAAAACCCACGCCTGTTCTCTGGTTAAGTGCACATTTGTTATTAGACGGAGAAGCTGAGCTTTTGTGGTACCTGACCTCTGATGCAATGAATTTGCATTGTTGCTTTTCCTTCCTACAGAAGTGATACACTTTCATTTTAAAGACGAAAAGAGTTCAGAGATATATTCAATATATACTTTAGAAAGTAAGAGATTCCAATAATCATTACCCTCCTACAAACCCGGGCTGTCAGTTCACACGGTTGTCATTAGTGACTTACGGCACATGTCGCTGTGAAGGCGACCGAAGTTTCCCGTTGACACCCTGAGAAGCACTTACGGAGCACCTGTTGAAGCACAAGCAGGCCTTCTGCTCCCTGCCTAAACCTTTCCCTGGCTGCCCTCCCTGTCTGTCTGTGACCGGACTTTGGAGTCAAAGCCTCACTGTTAGATAAAACTGCACAATCAAACTGAAACAGATTTATCTGGGAGAATGAGAGCAAACATGGCCCGCGGTGGAGAATGAGGCAACTTTCAATACATCCAACGGGAAAACCACACATCATACCTTTCCTACTGTAAATACTAAAGTCAAAATGTTAATTTCTGACTCACAGAGACACAAACAGAATTTTCAAAAACTCTATCTTGATGAACCAGAAAGAAAAAAGTTCACCTAAGACACTGTGAAATTCCCTCTTCTTTGACTATTTGGGAAAACTTACTAGTACACCAGAGTTTCAAACTCTTTAAAAACCCACACTTATCCAGATCTAACTGCTAAAATTAATCCTGAAATAGATAAGGTACAGAACAAAGCAACATGTAAAAATTCAACCTTCTGTTTCCCAGTCCAAAGTTTCATTAAAATACTTTAGGAACTCTTACTTTACAGCAGCAATGGATGGCGTCCTCCTGCTCACTCAGCCAGCAACAAACTTGAGAACTTCGTGCAGAAGAAAGTCAGGCGCTTAACAGTGCATGCTGGGATTGTAGTTCAGGTTCCTTCAGTTTTTAAGAGGAGTCTCCCATTCATACACTGTATTTGTGTAAGTGCTGCCATCTAGTGGAGATCAGGTAGAATTGTGAAGTCCAGGTACAACAGAAGGTGCAAAGTGGAAAAGCACCTTACAGCTTACTCAGAATGGGGAAATCATTTCCTTCACTGTAATCACTCTTAGTCCTTGTCATTTGTTTGCACCTACTATGTGCTGTGCTGGGGGTACTCAAGATTGAATTAGCCAGGAATCACCTGTGGAAGATAGCAGAGCAACAAAATAGAAGGAACTCAAGTCATTGAAGATACTGGAGCCTCCCTTCCTGGCCTTTAACCTAGATTGTTCTGAGGGAGGGAAATAAAAATTCTCTCATGTTGAATGTATAGTTGTGGTTATTTTGTCACACTCAGTCTATTCTAACACTAATACATGTTTAGTGGCAGAAGGCAGCCATCCCGACTACACTGAGGGGCTGGGTGGGGGAATTTGGATGAGAAAAAAATCAAGGCTGGCTACAGAGAACAGATTGAAACGAAAGTACCCTTTCTTTTCATGTCATATGAACCCTCTATGCTAGGCTCAATAACTTGCATTTCATTGGGCATGTAGTTGGGCAGGGTGTCACGCATGTAGCACTTAAGTTGGCTTACTCAGCATTCAGCCAACACACTCTCCCCTGCCTTTCACTTTAGAAAAGCCAGAGAGCGCAACTCTGAATTCCTAGTATACAGTGTCTGAATTCCTAGCCTCCTTCGCTGCCAGAGCTGGCTGCCAGTGAAACGTTATCTGGAATTTCGGAGGGCTTTTCTCTTGCAAAGCTGAGGCCTCTCTGAAGGGCTTTTGACTTTTGCTCTATCCCTTCTTTTCTCCCGGGTTGTGGATACGCTGCCTTGGGACAGAGCCGTGAGACTTGGAATGAGGTCAGAGGCATACATTAGTGACAGTGGAGTAAGAAAAGGGACCTGGTTTTTGAAGATGGCCCCAAGATAGTAGCCCTAGATTAACTCCCCTGGACTTCTTATGTGAGAAAAATAAACTTCAGAGTACTTTTTTCTTTAGTTTTTTTTTTTTGTTGTTGTTCTTCTTAGTGCTAAGTGTATTCACAACCATCACAGTGGTGAAGAACAAACACTGTGGGGTCAGGGGGATGAAGGTAGGTCCCGTATCTTTCCCTCACTAGTTAAGTCACTTAACTTCCCAAACCTGTCTTCTCATCTGTGACATAAAGGTAAGTTTCTCATCTCTGACATCTACCTCGGGGATGTTTCAAGGAGGAAGGACTGAGCATGTGGGACCATCAGCACAATGTGTTACTAAATGTCAATAAAGATCACAAATTCAATTATAATGGATAGCAAAATTGTACTTAAAAAACTTTTTAAAACCCTGACCTTAGTTTGTGCATGTGCCCACGTGAGGTCTTTGCTAAAACTGAACCTCGTTACCATACTGTAGTCTCTAGTGTTGGGTGCAGTGAACTGGAGTGATATTCAGCTGTGCCCCTTGCTTCAACAATGCTTTCCTTTTTGACTTTTGAGAATTTTTAAAAATTTAATCTTTATATTTTTTCCATTCCCATTTAGTCTCCTTATACCCCCATCTCCCCAGCAATCATCACACTGTTGTCCATGACCATGAGTCCTTATTACATTTTACTCAATCCTCCCATCCTCTAACATTGCACTAGCTGTCACCCTGCTCTCCATCTATGAGTCTGTCCCCATTTTTGCTAGTTCAGTTTGTTCATTAGATTCCACATATGAGTGAAATTGTATGGTATTTGTTTTTCTCCGGCTTATTGCACTTAGCATAATGTTCTCCAGGTCCACCCATACTGTCGCAAAGGGTAAAATATTCCTTTTTTATGGCCGAGTAGTATTCCATTGTGTAAATGGAACAGACATATAATGGGTATGAGAATTTTCTAATCCAGGGCAAGTCTGACACTTTTTTGGATGCAGTTTTCTTCAGCCTCCTTTCGTCCACTGATCTTCAACACTAAGGCTGACTCTCCAGCAGCCTAAGCCACGTGGTACTGCAGATATTTGCTTACCCGTCTATACTGTCAGTGGACTACATTTCTTCAAGGCTAAGGTCCGTGTCTTTTTCACCGTTACATTTTATCAGCTCCAATTAAAAGTACATCATTGGTTTGTTTTCTAAACACAGTATGATTTCCACAAAGGCAGTGCCTTTTGGTGCTTAGACTGATGATCTGCACCCCAGTAGGTGGTCACTTAATATTGCTGAGTATGAATGGCAGCCTCTTAAAAAGTTTCCTGAATATAATTCTGTCAGACTCTCAAGAAAATGTTTCCTATGAATAAATATATTTTGTCTTTTCTGGGCCTGACTTTACTTTCAAGGCCATTTAATATTGTCTGACCATATCCTTTTCAATACTTTTGACAGTTTCCATTGCTGATGTTCATCATCGTTCCTTCACAATCATATGTCACGGTATTAAAACTCAGATCATAAGACTTAAGAAACATTCTGAGGGAGATGGCAACAAGATGGAGGCA